AGTACAATATATATCCATGGAGTACTATTCAGCCACAAAAAACAATGGTGATCTAACACCTCTTGTACTATACTGGATAGAGCTGTAGCTCATTCTACTACTAAGTGACTATAACAAGAAGGGAAAAACAAGATCACATGTACTCACCATCAAATTGGTATTAATTGATCAACACAAAAAACATTGCAATTTATAATAATTGCATTGTCAAAGGAAAAGATACATGCATCCAATGAACACATAAAAACAATATCCATAAATTGCCATTCAGAAAAATTACCTTTTAAGTTCCTGTTCCAGTTTTTCTATTTGCTTTTTGGTTGAATTCAGTTGTCCTTCCTGAAAATTCACCTGTGACTCCTTGACTTGAAGTTCATGAGAAATCTTCTGCTTAGTTTTCTCCAGATTTTCACATATTTCTATCAATCTTTGATTCTCCCTTTTCAGGTTTGTGCCTCGCTTTTTTCATTTTCAACCTAATGGGAATTGTTGAGAAGAAAACAGATCCATTATTTCAGAAACTTACCAAGTATTATTTGTAGATCTGAGTCCGATACTAATTTTCTGAGATATGGTTATAATAAGCTAGAAATCAGTGCTTTATAGACACAGAAATTTTAGATGACCACATTTTGAAGCCTATAGATAGAATAGTTCCACAAAGTTATGCATGAGATCATCTTGGGCTACAAATACTAATCCTAGAAAAGGAGGCTTTAATATCCTTTCAAGAATTTAAAACAAAAACAAAAATAAACCTTATAGCTCCCTTAGCAATTCGTTTTCAAGTTTGGCTTGGTAAAGCCTAGTTACTGTAAGAAACTGGAAATTCTCCCACAAGTAAAACATTTTAGAGTACTGATTATATCACTATGTGGTTGGCTGATACAGAGATAATGAAGAAGTACTATTTAAGTTTTCATTTACTAGTCCTGAAGAAGTTCAGGACTATAAAGGTAAAAAGTCCACTCCTGGAAAGCAATATCCATTTAACCACAAAATGCTCTAATACTGTCCCCACATTTGGAGCCGGGGGCTTTTGGCCTTATTGCTGTGCAATGCAAAAGCAATTCCCAGTTCGTGGTCCCAAACAGAAGTTAAAATGGAACTCAGTAGCCCTAAATACTTGCAGGTAAGCAGAAATGAGGGCAGAGGATGGAGAAAATTAGAAGCAATTAAAATAAAAAATGACTCAAAAGTGAAGGAGGGGATTAGCAGGAGATTACACTTGAAGACCGCAAAATCATTTTCTCTAAATTTAAAGAAGATGATAGATTAATGAAAAATGAGCGAACTGTTTTCAATACCAGCATGTCATTGATGATAATGAGTGAACAGTTGCAAAGACCAGAGCTTCAGGGGTACCTTCTCTGCTTTTGCTTCTGCAATGCAGCCTTCCAGAGTATCAAGCTGAAACTGCCTTTGCTGCTTTCCTTCTTCAGTTTGTCCATCTGTTCCTCCAGCTCTTGAATTTTCTGAAGAGCTCTTGTAGGCAGGCCTTCTTTCCATTCTTCCAAAGCCAGCTCATTTTGTTCTCCCTTCTTATTTATGCCAGCATTATAAATAAACTGAAAAGAATAACCAGACTGTTTGGTCTTACTATAGTAAAAGGAATGTCTAAGAGACTGGCAGTCTACTAACCACCTCAAAGGACCAAGTTTCAAAACGTCACATGTCAAAAGACACACCAAGTATAATATCTATATTCTCCACCTCTGAAAAGCAACTACCAAATAATTGATTATGAAGTACATAATATGTTGGTTGTCTCCCTTTGCTTACTGTTTTCTTACTTCTCAGTTTTGACTCTTATACAGCTACTGCTTTCTACTGCTCACGGTTTGTTTTCATTATACAAAACATGAATATTTGCTGTAAGGTTTCAGGTGAAAATAGGTTCTAGAACACAAATCAAATGCATGACAAGTTTATTTTTCAAATGCTCCTCTTCCCATCATTAATTACCACCCATACTGTGCCCTTTTTCCTCTGAAAGCTTTTCTGAACCCTGACTGGCCACCTCATACTTTCCCTCTGTCACAATTCCCCTTCTCCACCAAAAAACCTGAGTCCCTCCCACTCTGGCACGACTGGGTGTGAGAATGATAACCCTGCCTCCTCCTCCTCCAGACCAGGACCCCTGTCATTTATGTCTGTGTCCTCATAACATAGCAGGCCTGCCTGCCACACAGGCCCGTCCAGACAAACGTCTGGGGGAGGAGGAAAAGCAGCTAGGGGGAGAGAGAAATGCCTTGCAAACCAACAACAGGCACGCCGCCCCGCCGCCCACAGCAAAACCCAGGCTTGCATCTCCTCAGTGCCAACGTAGGTAGGACCAGGGTCCGAATTTCAAAGAGGAGCCACTAATCCCCGGACCTGGAGGGTGCTCGGAGATACCTGGTCACCTCCAAATAAAATGAACCCCCAAAGTGCGAGTTGGTGACCGAGCGGGTCTCCGAGCACCAGTGCGGGCCCAGTTTGCCCGGAGCAGAGGGCGCCGACACCACCCCTACGAACCTCACCCGGCCGAGTCCCAGTCGGGTCGGCGGAGGGACCGGAGCGTGACCCCACAGGCCCACCCCGCCAGCTTCCGCGGGCAGAAGCCGCGCTCCCCGCCTCCCCGCCGCGAGCCAGCCGGGACGCAGGCGGACGCTCACCTCGCTCCCGTCGCTACCTGGGAGGGGAAAAACCTCTCGGGGAGTCCGGTTCCGGCGCGGCCTCCGCCGGGCGAGCCCAGATTCCGACTCAAACTGCCCGCGCCGCCACCCGTATTCGATTCGCCGCCTCCGTCGCGACTAAACTCACCTCCACGCCTATTGGTCACCGTGGGCGGCTCTGGACCAATCGCTTCCGCGCACTCGGCTGCCGCTTTTGATTGGTCCTTTTGGATGGATTTTAAAACAAGCCGGCCGCGGAGGTGCCTGCGCCAGGGTGAGTGTGCTTTTTTTGTTGTCGCGGAGAGGCGGAGCCCACGTGCTTTTGCTGCGCCAGACCCGATTTTGGACCGCTATTTCCTAAGGGCCCAAAACTGCCCGCTGATTATGAGGTGTGGTCTATGGCCCGCAGCAGGGGGAGCGTGCTGCCTGCTGAAAACTCATGCACTGCGCATACAAATGGACGTCTTCACTAAATAGATAATTTAGGACGTAGATACTAAGCACTGTGCTTGTCATGCAGTCTTTATACAGTGTCATTCTTAACAACTGTTTGAGGAAAGTATTATCCTTATTTTATTTATTTAAAAGTTAACTGAGGCACATGGAAGCTAAGTGCAGTAATCAGAAATTGCATCTAGGCAATGCAAGACGTCGCTCTTAAGTGCTGTCCTCTATCAATTATATTGAGAAGGTGATTCTGAACACTCGTCAGCCGGGATTCGAGGGGCGTACATTGCATCAGACTCAAAAATTCAGAAGACTCTTCAAACTGGTGTAATCTCTCCTTTTTGTGAAGCCCACTAGTTCTGTATGTATTTTATATACTTGTTTTATGTTCCTGTTCAACTATAAATAAGCTGCTAATGTCAGGAGCAAAACAACGGATTGTTAAAGTAATAGATCTCTAATGATGGGGTCCTCCTCAATAGGTTCCAAACTTTCCAGACCCTTTCTTCACCCTTCATTGCGCAGTTCCTGCAGCCTAGTCTGATCTGTACCTTTCACTGAAACTCTATTATACTCATTCCTCAATACTCAGTTCAAATGCTGCTTCTTCATAAAACTCCCTATCCCTACGCACCCCTTAGACATAATTATTTCTCCTATCTTTCCTAGAACTCGGTTTATACTTCACTTTTAGGATTTTTGCCATGTCTTGTATTTATATGTCCATCTGGCTCCCCCACCCCATCAGACTCAAAAATTCCTTTACAGTAAATCTGTTTTCATTCAGCTTTGCATCCCTAGTAACTCTGCACATAATAATTGAAAAACCAGATTATCTTGGGAGGTGAAACTGCCATCTGGAGAAAGGCCTTGTTCTCTAATATGCTTGAATCCCAAAGGGAGGGAAGGAGCAGGTGGAAGAAGAACTTTTGCAGGACACTGCCCTAACCAGCCTAGGATCTGGCAGTTCTGACATCTGAACCAAATTCTGTCTGACTCCAATACCAGTTCGAATACGATGCTGGCCTTTAGCAGGTGGGGCTGATGTACTAGAACCATATCGAAGAGTATTGAGGCCAGGTGCGGTGGCCTCACACCTGTAATCCTAGCACTCTGGGAGGCCGAGGCAGGAGGATCGCTTGAGGTCAGGAGTTTGAAACCAGCCTGAGCAACAGCGAGACCCCATCTCTACTAAAAATAGAAAGAAATTAATTGGCCAACTAAAAATATGTAGAAAAAATTATCCAGGCATGGTGGTGCGTGCCTGTAGTCCCAGCTGCTCGGAAGGCTTAGGCAGGAGGATCACCTGAGCTCAGGAGTCTGAGGTTGCTTTGAGCTAGGCTGATGCCATGGCACTGTAGCCCGGGCGACAGAGTGAGACTCTTGTCTCAAAAAAAAAAAAAAAAAAAAAAAAAAAAAAAAAAAAAAAAAAAAAAAAATATATATATATATATATATGGTAGGATTAGAAGTCTTAAGAAGGTGAGAAGATTAGAATGGACTTATTACCTAAGACCACCACCTTATTATTATTTCTAGAAGGGTCCAGAGGCTATTGCCTCCACTAACACCGTAAATAATGTTTCTAGAAAGGGGACACCAGTATCTTTAAGAAGGTCAGTGGTGGGTGACCTCTGAGGGCCAGGGTTGACAGCAAGAGATGCCGCCATGGAACTGGGCTCTACAGCATCAGCGTGGAGAATTCCAGAATGGCCTAGGCCAGGGCCAGAAATTAACCACTTTGTCAGTGGCAAGGTGAGAGTAATTGCCGCGATGGGCAGCACAGCTGGAGTAGAAACCAGAATGCAGGGATCTGTTGCTATGACTAATAGACTATTATTTTCCTGGGTGAGAGATAGATGGCTAGTACCACTTGGGTTTTGCTTGATTTATATAACCAGAAAACCTCACACATTAGCCCCACAGAAAGCTAAGAGCTACTACAGTGCAAAATTAAGCAAGCATCCTGCACTTGGCTGTATCATCTGGCAGGTCTATCAATGGTAGGATAACCATGGCAAATAAGGCCAACCCTCTGGCAAGCCTCAATGAGAGATTCATCACACAGAATCCCTAACATTCTGGAACGAGGCCATGTTTTCTCCATGAGAAAACGACTTAACATCGAAAAGCAGCTCCTATTGGGCTACTGGCCCTTAGTAGAGATTGAGCACCTGACCTTGGAACATCAGGCATAACCAGAACAGTCCATCACTATCTGAGTATTGTCTACCAAGACAATACTGTCTACTAAGATCAGAGGTTCAGAGATCTACCAAGTCAGAGGTTCTGGTGGATGCAACAGTAAACCATTCTATCATGAGGTCCAAGCAGGTCCAAAAGGCACAAATAGATTATATAAACTGGTGGCCATATGTCACCCATTCTGTTTCACCAGGGCTCTCTCTCAATGCACATCTATGGCCTTATGGTGGGCTCCCCAAAACTAGCCCAGAGAAGCGAAAAACACCTGATTCTGGTTCCCAGATGGGTTGGCTTAACATGTTGGTGTGTCCTGAAACAGACTGCCACTCCCCACAGCACACTATGGGGGGAGGAGGTGGTTCCAGTGGGCAGAACTGTGAGCAGAATAGTTGAACATCTACTTATTATAGAAAAACAGTGGTTCAAGTTCAGGAAATACTCCTGGGCAACTGATTTGGCTGATAGAGACCTGGAAGGAGCAGGATTAAATTACTGGAGACATAGAGATTTAGAGGAGTGTGGACAGAATCTTTTGGGAATGGGAACAAAGTGTGTGGGTCTTGAGTCTTATATCAATACCCACTCGAGAACATCCACCACAGAGGAGACAGGAAACAGCCAAGCAGACAGGGCAATTTGTCTGGTGGATTGTCCAGTGGGTGTCCTCAGTCACCCTAGTGTTTGTACAATGGTCCTATTATCAGAGTAGCCATAGCATCAGGGCTGGTGGCTATATATGGTCACAAGAACATGGACTCCCTCTCACCAAAGCTGGTTTGGCCACTATCTCTGCTCAACAGCCACCCTGTCAGCAGCAGACTGAACTAGTATAGAACTATCCTAAGTAGAAACAACCAGCTTGTTGGAGGCAAGTCAATTGCGTTGGATCTTTCCCACCCTGAAGGAACAGATACTGTTTCCGCAGCACTGCTCCCTAAGAGATTTATATCCGTGGTATCCTACATAAGAATGCTTTGGACCAAGGGACCTAGTTGATTGAGAAACGTGTACACGACCACAAGATTTGCTAGTTCTACTACATCCTATTTCCTGAAAGTAGCTAATCTGACACAGTTATGCATTGAATTGTGTTCCCCAATAAATTTGTATTCTGAATTCTTCATATTTTGAAGTCCTAACTCCCAGCAACTCAGAAAGTGACCTTAATTGGAAAAAAGGCAGTTGTAGATGTAATTGGTT